CTTGATAGTCTGTCTTGATACGTCGACAGGCTGAACAGCGGTAATTTAGGGAGAGATCGCTATGTGGCCTAATTCAATGCTTGAACTCTATGCACAAAATACGTGTTACACGAATAACTGTAAATGCACAAATATGTGGGTCTCCACCATTAGCTCATGTTAATCGTTTAATAAATTACCTTTACACTCTTGTTTTACTTCAAAATATTTGTTTGTTTTAAAATAAAATATATATAAATCACAAACATTTAATCATGCCCATTCTGTAGCACTACTCGCAACTACTCGCCTACCAAAGAGTAAAATATTTTATACGGGAATCGCCTACTCGGGTATATACCAAAGAGTATACTTACTCCTACGTACATGGAGGTTAGAGAACAGGAGAATGATCACTATAATAATAATAATAATTATAATAGTTATTGTTATTATTATTATAATATAATATTATAATAATAATAATATATGGCTTGGTGTCGGCTGGGTCTTCTCGGACTCAGCAAGCGGCACCCGCCGCTGGTGGAGCACGTCGCATGCGTTGGACAAAATCTATGAACGAACACGCATTGCGGGCGTACTATAGGGCGAAAGGGGAAGAAACTGTGGGAATAGCGTATAGAGCTCGGATGCATTGCTTTTTTGCTGAGCTGGAGCCTTCTATCCCCGTCACGGAACAAAACTTGGCAGACCGAGTTCGGTACATCATGCGCTCGAAAATATTTGATGATGCCGAACTCGAACGACTACGACGTGAGGCTATTCCATAGTCGAATGAATCGGCTATGGCTCGAGATGCAGCTTTACATCCGACAGACCAGCATCCACACGTGGAAGCCGCCATGGATCTTCCAGTTGTGGTTGATTCGAACGACGATGAAATAGTCTCCCACGAACTAAAGCAAATGAGGAGTATATTGGAAGAGGCGATTTTGGAAACGCGCAGCACCCCTCTCGAAAATCGACCGCAACTTCCCCGCATACCCCTAAGCAAGCGAAATCAGGCTGTCGTGAGGGCTCTTAACCCAATGCTGGTGACCTACTTGGAAGCCAGCCGGGACCTTTGCGAGACGGACTTTCAATTCTCTTTGGCGCCGTAGTGGCAGTTTGCCCTATTATTGGCGCCAAACTTCCCATGGCTGGACGCGCTACTACACAAAGTAGCGCCATCCCAGCCTGGAGAAAAAGAATCGAGGACCGTATCGCAAAGGCAAGGGCCCTTATCGGCAGACTGACAAGCTTCAGGTCGGGTAATAATAGACCGAGGATTGTGCGCACCGTTTCCGTCCGTCACTCCTCATTGACACGGTCATAGGCAAAGTGGTGAAACGCAACCGTCGGAACTTCTCTACCGCCTGGATAGACTACAGAAAGGCGTTCGACTCGGTGCCCCATAAAGAGGGTCCTCGAGCTGTACAAGATTGACTGTACAGTTAGAGACTTCCTCGAGCAGTGTATGGGGTAGTGGAGTACGATCCTTTGTCATCTGGGCGAGCGGATGATTGCTGCGGAGAACCACATAAGGATAAGAAGGAGTATCTTCCAGGGCGATTGTCTGAGTCCAATCTGGTTCTGCCTCTCTCTGAACCCTCTCAATACCTTACTGGAGGGCTCCGGGAGGGGATTTCAGCTACGGAAAGGAGGGACAAAAGTGACCCACCTTTTCTATATGGATGACCTCAAGTTATTCGCCTCCAGTTGCTTCCATCTTATGGAACTGCTAAACATCACTTATGAATTTAGGAATTCAATTCATTGGAATGGAGCTGGGGACGGATAAGTGTGCGGTCCTCCATGTTGAAAGGGGAAGGGTTGCTAACTCTGCTAACCCGTCAACTTAAGGACCCTTTCCGAGGCTGAAACATACCGATACCTGGGTATGTCACAGAACAACGGTATCGATGAGGCTGGTATGAAACAGTCAGTTTGCGACGTGTTTTATGCACGCTTGACCAAAGTGCTTAACAGCCTTTTGTCTGGTGTGAATAAGTCACACGCATATAACTGCTGGGTCATGCCTGTCCTCATGTATACCTTTGGCATACTCAGGTGGACTCAGACTGAGCTTAACGCCCTGGATAGAAAAGTCCGCACTACCATGACGTCCCATAGGATGCATCATCCGAGATCGTCGGTAATGAGGCTGTACTTGCCGCGAAAGCATGGTGGGCGTGGCTTTCTGAGCGCGCTCACCATGCATAATCGCGAAGTGTGCAGTCACCGTCAATACTTCTTGGCGAGATCGGATGATCCATTCTATAATACGTCATTTCTAGTGATAAAGGGCTTACCTTCTATCCTTAGCCAACGAGCAATGGCAGGACCCAGCAGTGCTTAGCATTTCCGACCGGGAGACCGTATGGAAGGAGAAGGAGCTCCACGGCAGATACTACAAGGCTCTACATGAGCCCTTCGTAGATGCAGTCGCCTCCCTCAACCGGCTACGTTTCGGTGACCTCTTCGGGGAAACCGAGGGTTTGGTTTGTGCAATACAGGATCAGGTTATTAAGACCAACAACTATCGGAGATACATCCTAAAGGATGGCACCGTCGACGTCTGTCGAGCTTGTCGCCATCCCGGAGTGTCACTTAGGCATGTCATCTCCGGTTGTTCGGCGCTTTCTAACTCTGAGTACTTGCACAGGCACAACCTAGTAGCCAGAATTCTACACCAGGAGCTCGCTCTGAAATACGGTCTCGTGGACCGGAATGTGCCGTATTACAAGTACTTGCCGGAAGCCGTGCTCGAAAATGACCGCGCCAGGCTCTACTGGGACCGGGCCATCATCACAGACAGGACTATTCTTGCGAATAAGCCTGATATTGTGCTGATGGACAGGGCACGGTCAAGGATATTTTTGGTCGACATTACCATTCCGTATGACGAGAACCTCGTGAAAGCCGAAACAGATAAGCGAACAAATATCTGGACCTGGCTCACAAGGTGACCGACATGTGGGGAGGGTCGGCCGACCGAAATTATTCTTGTAGTCGTCTCTGCGAATGGGCTAATCCCAGTCAGCCTCTCGGGTCATATGAGGCGACTGGGACTCCGTGACGGACCGTGCCGGGCTCAAATGCAGAAGGCAGTGGTCCTCGATACCGCCCGCATCGTCCGTTTCTTTCCCTTTCCTCCTAACCCTCGGCCGTTTCGTCTCCTCTGCCGAGGGCTTCCATCTGGTTGGATCTTTATTTATTTGTGTATTTTTTGTATTTATTTTATTTTATTGATATTTATAGAAACCAACCAGATGAGAAAACTATACAGATACGCCTATTATAATAATATAATTTTATACGTACCAAAGCATAGCCCGCCTGTCCTTGAAAATTGTAGAATTTATAGCGGCGCTCACGTCGGTGAATAGTGTCTGCGAAATTAGCTGTTTAAGAGTTCAAGTAGATGAAGTTAGTTGAATAATGTACAAATTTTCTTCGCGGCATGGGTGAGAAAATTTTCATGCTCCGTAATTTTTTAATTATTGACAAAAAGAAACATCAAAAAATGGAGAAATATTTTATTGTGCGTGGATGTGCAAGTGGCTTAGCATCTGATCGGAAAATAGACTGAAAATGACTTAGATTGAAAATGACTTTTAGATTGAAAATGACTTGGTGTCCATATTTCTGGGACACTATTTTCTACGGCGATCATTCTCCTGTTCTCTAACCTCCACGCTATAATACTTTTGAGTACCTATTCAATACTCAAGGTAATAATAACATAGATATACATAATATAAACTCCAGTTTATAGTACAAACTGGAGTTTATACTTTATCTATGTATAATTATTCTATGTAGTTTATATAGTTTATTACTTGAATATCTTTAGTTTATTTACTACAAAGTTATATTTATCTACAAAATATCTTTGATTTACTCATCTTTAATAAAAATAAAATAATTTTTTTATAATTTGATTTTACCTTTTTTACATACATTACACTTTTTATAACGCCTAATAAATTAATATCATGTTTAATGATGTTTATGTAACTAAATCAAAATATACTTCTAAGAAAAATAAAAATTTTACGATTTTTATTTTCACCCTATACACTGGTCATAGCTGCATCTAATAAAAAAAAATGTTATTCATCTAGCTACTGATCTGTCGTTACGTTCATTGTTAAAGTACGCAGTAAGTAATAAACCAAATAACACTGTTTATTTTACGCTTTTTTTTGCAAAGAGTTGCATCAGCATAGAGATTAGTGTATAGTAATCAACATGTTGGCATTTTTCTTATTACTTTTAACCGACTTCTAAAAGAAGGAGGTTCTCAATTCGAGTGTATTGTATTATTGGTATGTATGTTACATGACATCTTCACAGAATATTATAAATAAAAAAGTATAAGGAAAGAAACAAAAGCTGCTATATTAGTTATAGCAACTTTTCTTTCTTTCTTCATACTTTTTTATTTACAATGTAATGTAATGATTTACGCAATATGGCACGTGACATCTGAGTCACGGTGAGAACCGCGACCGAGTTTGTAAATAACCGCGATTACTCCTCGTTTTTCGCAAATCGTCCGTTCAACCAGGTCGCAATACATTTGTGGTAATCGAACTGCCGTTGCAACGGCTTGGTCGACGATTCGTACTACCGTCACTATGTGAATGACTAATTATGCCGCAGCCTTAGATAACCCAATGGACTTGCTTCGCATGATCATATCCTCTGATAGGGTATTGGATTTAAAAATCTTGTACGCTTATAAAAACTGTTTACGGAATTAATTTTACTATTGCAAGAATCGTTTCAGGCGATGTAGGTGCTCTTTGAAAAATGCCAACATGTGCATAAAGCAGTCAAATAGTTAAAATTTCCAAAAATATACAGTTAAATTCCATGTGTAGGTATTTTTATAGTGATACATGCTTTTTTTCTATTAAAATCATTAAATATAATATCATAAATAATAAACGAGAAATTTACCGACTAGGTAATCGAATACGTAATATTTCATGAAAATCGTAGTATTATTCGCAATGCGACAACCACACTCCCCACGAGACTATTTGTTTTTTATTAAACAGTTTCAAACCACGTACGCTACAAATTAGGTTTATATAAATATGAACACGCAAGTACAACCGCACTCCTCACGAGCCTTTTTTATTTTTGTATATTAATTCCAACAAACAGTAAATAAAACTTATGTTGAAATATGAAAAAACGAATAACTTGACAAGTAAATAACTGTAATGAGACTATTTCTTAATTCTACAGTTGTCACGCCTTATAAAAACACGTAAGTGGTCCCTTGGATTACATAACATGTAGTCCAATTTAAATAAGAAGATAGATGTAAAATATCTACTTTAACTACTAAATACTCTATTTTAAACAAAACAAGGTAACATTTTATCAATGGTTAATCATATTAAATAAACAAAAACATTTATAACTTCTTTTCTGCGCGCCATAATAAACATCCGATACATGGCAAGTTATCACTAACGCCATCTGGTATCGAGTAGCAGAATTAGGAAAGTCTTTCTAGAAAATTCCATACTAGAAGTTTCTACATCTAGTCAATCGGGACCGGTATGTACTTGAACATTCTAGATGTTTCAGTAGAATAGGCCCTATATAAGGCCGGTTAGAACCGCGACCGAGTCAGTATTGAATTGGCAATGCAAGCGAATACTTCGAAGAAATACAACTGGTCACTAAAGTGATCAGTAGTACAATTGTGTTTTATTATTAGTGAATTTATAATTGGTGTTCTGTAATTAAAGTGCCGATTTAATCGGCAGTTTTTACTGTCACGAACCCCAAACTCGTAACAATTGGTATCAGAAGTGGGATAAAATCATGCCGATTTCACCTAAGAACGACAAAGAGGGTATCCACACCTGAAGTCAACGCCAGTTGGAGACGGACCAGAGACGGTTTGGTGGTACACGCCGTAGACGTCGGAGGGCCAACTGCCGACCACAGAGGCCGGCCCGTCAGCAGCTCTTGCATCTGCAGCACTTGACTTAGGAGCTGCAGATGCAGGAGCAGGCAGTGCTGCAGGGGCAGGCCCACCAACAGGAGGAACATGCCCGTCGATTGGAAAAGCAGCTGCAACGCAAACAGAAGG